TTGAGATAAATGGGGAGAGGGGGATCTTGGTTGAAAGTGGAATCCTCAACTTTTATGTCAATCTCTGAGTACATATTGGGAAGGTATGCCTGAGACATGAACTCCATGCTGTGACCAAAGCCATTGCTCCCTGCAATCTGCATGGAGCCGAGAGATGGGGGTGACATTGACATGTCCTCAATCTCATCTTCTCTTTCATTCTCCATGGTCTTGGATGCTAATGAGAACTTGGTTGAAGCAAAGTAGTCTAATAATATAGTTTAGATATCGTGAGTCAACTGCATCAGACCAAGAGCTTGCCTATATATTGAGGCAGAATTTTGGTTGGTGGGCCACATACTTTTCATGGCAAGTCCATGGTCCATGAAAGTCAAGAATGTTGTTCTCACATATTCTTTCAATTCAACCATTATGATTTGTCATAATAACATGACAAGATCATGAATAAATTGGCTTGGTAAGTAACTGAACGTTTATGAAATACACTTCTGCATGTCTTCAATAGATTGATGAGACTCGTGTCATTTAAAAAAAAAAAAAAACTCATTTACAATTAAGAAATGTCAGAAACTATGTGAATAATATTGAACAGTCATGTCCGTAATGGAAAAGCCATTTCGTTGATTCATTTTTCCTTTTAAAGTGTTTGGTGCTTAGAAAACCATCTAAATTTTGCCATGTATACTTTTAATCACAGAGCACGGATTTGTATATCTATTTTGACGTCTTTTAGTGCTGTCGATGGTCATCCGGGATCACAGGTATAATTTGTATATTCCTTCTTGTTTACAGTTCAATTTTTTGTTTTTCGTTTATGCTCATTGTTCAATGTTTGGTAATTTTTTTTAATCATGAAATTGTTAGGGTTATCTTTTGTAATCATGTTTGAAATGATATATTTATATTAAGAGGAGAGTTATATTTTTGTTTGTTTTTGTATCTGTCTGAAGGGCACACTAGTAATCTTCTCGTATTTGGTGGGTCGAACGAGAGTTCTGATCGAATATTCTGGTGAGGGGGGAGGTACCTGCAAAAGGCACTCCGTCGCTCAAGTCAGGACAAAGCACAAGTATCGATAGTAATTAATGAACATTGACGTTACCTCGTGACATGAGCTATTTATACCGACATTTATGGGTCCGGATTCCCATGGGCCCTGCAACAGGATTACCGGATTAGGTAATACGTCTCTAATCGGCTTATTGGTATGATTAACTCTTAATCCCTAATTAGGGGGAGTCCTTAACTCTTCATTAGTGGAGATCTGGATCTATGGACCATGTGGGGGCTAATCGGCCACCTGGTTCGGCCACTCGGGTGCCGATTGGGTGTCGGCTATCAGGTGGCCGAGTGACAGAGCCAGGTGGCCGAATAACCCTGCTAGTACAGTTTTTATCTATATATTTCATGTATTTGTATACACAACTTTGCATTAATAAAAATATTGTTTACTTAGAGGTTAAACTTTCACGATTTTACTTTTATATATAAGTTAATTTTTTGTAATCATTGTTTTGTCCTCTAGGATCATATAAATGATTATTATTTTTTATACCAATAATGGTTAATGTATTTAGATTCGTTAATATTATTATTGACATTGATATACAATGTTGTTATAGACTTCCTAAATTATGAGAAAACCTAATTAAATGGATTACATATATAAAATAATGACTAGTAAATAATATATTTAAACGCTTAATATTTATTGGCTACAAAATCATATAATTTTTGAATGATTTAGTAACAATTATATTCATATTATCACAAGATTGTCATTAAAAGTTATTTTTGTTGTAGTGTGATCATCATTCAAAATGTCTTTTAATCAATAGATTATATGTGTTTTATAAACTTTTATTTCTCCTCTTATTCTAATGATGTGAAATTTTATTTATATTTCAATAATTTTTTTTAAAAAGACATAATATTTCATTCAACGAAATATGTCTATATTACATTTTTGTTATTATTATTTATTTATAGGGGTTATATGAGTTATCACTTACTTCGATCAAAGACTCTGTCACTGGTGTTAGGGTAATGTTTTTGTTCTCTTCTACGAAAAAATATGTATTTGTGGACCAACTTTGTGAACGACGGTTAGAAAATTTGTTCACAAATTTTAGTGAATTTTCTATTCCAATAATTTTTTATTTATTCATGACTCAACAAGCTAGTTGATTGAGAGAGTAATACGTGATATGAACTAATTATGTTCATTATTTGATTATTGGTACAAACAATTTAATATTTTTGAATTTGATTTTGTAAATCCACTTGGACATTTAAAAAAATTAAATATAAAAAGGTTTTGTTAAAAAAAGTTATTAACATATTTTATTGTAATTTCAAACATTTTTTTAGTAAAGAATTATTATTAATTTTTGTAAAACTTGTTAAAACCATTGAACCATATTCAATTCTCCTAATTACACCATCAGCGTTGGAACTTCAAAATTAGTCCCAATTCATGAGCCAATTTGCCTAACCATGAATTTGGGTTAAATTGGACTAAAATTTTAGACTCTTTAACTTATAAGAAAAAGAATGGTCTAATCAACTTATAACCGTCCTCATCATGTCAACATGTTATGAATTATAATTATTTATTATTCTTTTGGTCTTATATGCTAGTTTATGTAATTATATATTTATATTAGTTATAAATTATGATAGTTACTGTTAATTTAATATTATTTGTTAATATTTATGTTATTATTTTGATATTATTTATTTGATATTATAAGTTAATTAAGTTAGTTGTAGATATTTTTTTTTTACATTTTTATTGTTTTGTTGTTAACATAATTGTAACTCTAAGACATAAAATTATAAAAGATATATTTTTTTATTAAGTTCAATCCTTTTTTTTATATTTAAATTAAGCGAGTTAATTCATTTAATCTACGAATATGTGATAGACTGAGCCAAATTCATCTTTTATATACTCATCCAAAAGTGAGTCGGATTGGGTTGACTTGTCTTTTAAGCAACCCATAACGAGCTAAATGACTCATTTTGACAATCATAATCTCAAGTTTTTCAATCATTAATAAGGGTCTTCATAATCATATTAGATCTCATCACTACAATAATTTAGACTAAATTATACTTTCGATTATTTATTTGTTAAAATATTTATTTTGGTCATTTATCTTTTATATTTGAATCAATTTGATTATATTAAAATAATGATCGTTTTCTTTAAGGATCAAAATGAATATTTTAAAAGATAAAGAACCAAAATAAATCTAAAAAATAAGATAAAGCACTAAAAATATAATTTAGCCAATAATTTATTTTAGTTGAGTCAATTAGTTTTTTAATTTTAAATTTGAATTAAAGTGATTATAATTTATTCAATTTTTTAATTAATTTTTTTCAACCCCAATTAACTTGATGATCTGATCAATTATTTTTAAAATTTAAATTAATACATTTATATTTTAATACTTAATTAACATTTTAGTATGTGTAGTCTACAAAATAACTATTTATTTTATATAATTAAATTTATAATAAATAAATGTTTTTATTATATATTGTATATAATTAAAACTTGTAATAAATAAATAATTATGAATATATAAATTATATTTTAAATTTATGATAAATATTTTTATTGTTGTATAAACTTTTTAAAATATTAATAATATTTTTCAAAAAAAAATGAAACAAATATGAAAATGATATATCCAATGAGATAAGGCGTTAAAAAATATGGAAATAAATATGAAAATAGTATATTCAAATATATAAGAAGTAAAAAATAAATATTAAATAAATAATTAAAAAATATTAAATAAATATATTTGAAGAGATACTATGTTAAAAAAATATTAAATTAAATATAAAAGAATGCATATGAATAATATTTTAATTTTGAAGATAAATATATATTTGGTTTTGATACTCAATTGTTAATTTTTTTAGTAATAGATCATTTAGTATTGACCAAATAAGTATGATCTTAATTAGATTGATTTAACTCGGATTAACGGAAAATTTAAATTTTTTAACCAAATTAATCCAATTAATTTTTATGTTTAATTTTAATTTTTTATAAAATCTAAATCAATTTAGCATTGAGCATGTGGATCAACTTGTGTAAATGTTTTAGTTTTACTAGTGTTATCGAGTTTAAGTATTAAACATGAAGTTGTGTTAAATACTCAAACAGAAAGTTTCTTCATCTATAATAATTTAACCTAACTTACAGGATAGTCTCAAATATGTGAAAGATGCATATGGTCTATAAAAAAAATTCTAAATAAATCTATCCTCACATTAGTTGTTTTACATGCTCTTTAGTAAAGTATACTTAATTTGATTTAACAGATGATCTAAAAATATTTATAAAAAAAAATTCAAACAGCTATTCTTTTTATCTTTGTACGTATTTTCTTATCTATATCTTTTTAATTTATCTTTTCTATCTTTATTTCTAGATTGACTTTTAATAATTTCAAAAGAAACACAGTAATTAAAAATAATTTTATCGGAATATAATTTGTTTATCATAAAAATGAAATATAATTTACACATTAAAAAATATTTATTTATTTTAATTATATAAAAGTTATCTGTTATCCTGTGAAATACTTGTGTTATAGAGAGAAGAGAGATTGAATGACTTGAACGATTAATGGTACCAACCAGTTGGTGGGAAATCTGCATTTCAGTTAGAGTAAGATGAAACTTTTGCATCAAGTTTTAGTGATGATATGATATCTTATCACAAAAGACTTTGTTTGTATCCATGAGATTAGCCAAGAGTAGTACATGACGGTCGTTGCAACAAGTGTCTTGACTATTTCCTAATCATATAACAATCTTTCATTAACTTCTCCGTAAATCAACAGTTACATCAATTCCTACTATACAAAAATAGAAAGGTGTTACTAGCACACCTTCAATTCAGAAACACGTGTGCCACTCTCATCAAATGCAATATTCTCCTAGAACACAAAGTAAATTCCCTTCACTTTTCTTTTTTGTCTTTTTCTTTTTTCATCATGAATTTGAAAAACCCCTCCTTGAAGAATGTCAATTTTCTGTTTTCCCAGAGACACCAACATACATTGATTGTAATCTAAGCAACAATAACATGGGCTATTGATTCATATTTATGTGACCTGTTTATGTAATTAGTATAGAATCGTGCCTAGCATTTTGTTTGAATATGTGATCCAAGTCCATGAATAGGCCAGATTGTTATGGGGTGGTTGGATTCTCTTTTGGGAGAAGATGGGAGAAGGTTATTTAAAAGGAAAGACAGTGATGCTGGCGATGCAGGTCTTTTCCGATTTTCTTAGCTCATATCATTCTAACTCACTTTTTCTACATTCAACACACTGCTTTTATTTGATATCTTCAAACTTTTGTGTTGTTGCTTGCTTGCTTTTCTGGGATTGGATTTTGAACTTTGTAATCTTCAACTCTTGATGAATAGATCTCAACTTGTTATTATTTTCCCCTGCCCATAATATTTTATCGTAGATTGTAAGTTTGTTACGTTGTTTTTCTCTCTTTTGTGTATGGTTTAACATTATTGCATCGCATGGTGTTGCTGATCATAGAGGCTTTCTGAGATCAATTTGCATTTTGAATTGAACTGATACTGCTCTGTTTTTTATTCGGCAAATTTGATTGGTGTTCTCACTAGCCAATTCCTTGATCGTACTCTACAACCACTTTTTGAGCCTATGTTTGGCAAATAAGAAATAAGGATCATGAAATGAATGTGAAATAAAAATATATGATTTGTCTCTAATATTCATCTCGTGTTTCATTCTTCCTTATTTAGCATCTGCCTCCTTTGCTGTTTGCTCCATTCTTCTTTATCTATTGACCTAAAGCACAACTGAATTTATTTGGACATATTCAATGTTTACGAGTTTCCGTTTTGCAATGAAAGGATAATAAGATATTACTCATTATTACCATTAATGCCAATATCCTTGTTCCCAATATATACTTCTATAAACTAGAATTGCTAATGGCAGTTCTAACTTGTAATGTATCAGGTAGAGCACTGGAAGAACTCAGAGCTTCTCTCTACAATGAGATCCGAACCTCAGAAGGTGCCAAGCGTCAGCAGCAAAGATATTGTGGACCATTGGTGGCACTGTCCTTCAACTTTATGGTTGCAGTTGGGATTATCATGGCAAACAAATTGGTCCGTACAATTTCCTTCTATTCTTGCATGTATTTTTATAACTAGTTTTATAATCACAGGAACATACAAAATTTATTGATAAACATTATAAGGATAATAAAGGTCATTACTTCACTAGAAGTTCAGCTTCAGCCTACTGATCAAGCACAAGCACCCTTACATGTATTATATATAACTATGTTAACAGGTGATGGGTAAAGTTGGCTTCAACTTTCCAATTTTCCTCACATTTGTACACTACATCACTGCATGGTTTCTGCTAGCCATTTTCAAGGGTCTCTCAGTGCTTCCTGTGTCCCCTCCATCCAAAACAACTCCATTCTCATCTTTATTTGCACTTGGTGCTGTTATGGCCTTTGCCTCTGGCCTTGCAAACACTAGTCTCAAGTATAACAGGTTTGTGCTCTTACTTTAGCAATAGCATCTTTATAATAAAAGATTTAGAACTTTACTGTTTGCTGACAATCCGGCTCATGCAGTGTTGGTTTCTACCAAATGGCTAAGATTGCTGTCACCCCAACAATTGTTTTTGCGGAGTTCATTCTTTTTAGAAAAAACATTTCCTTCCCAAAGGTGAAGAATTTCACTCCTTCCCTTCTTTTTCTTTTTCTCTCTTTTGTAAAGCATTTCACGTATCTGAAAAAGGACTATTTCACCCCACCTTCATTGTTTTCAATGCACTAATCAGGTCATTGCAATGATGCAGGTTTTGGCTTTAGCTGTCGTGTCAGCAGGTGTAGCTGTTGCAACTGTAACAGATTTGGAGTTCAATTTATTTGGTGCTTTAATTGCAATTGCTTGGATAATCCCAAGTGCCATAAATAAGATTCTATGGTCTGCTTTACAACAGCAAGGCAACTGGACAGCTCTGGCGTAAGTACTTGTAGTTTAAAAGTTTATTCATAACATATTTGGACTTGTCTATGATATAAGCCCTTATGTTATTGTTTGAGAGAATTTATGATTTGCTCATTAGCTATTTTTAGCTTGTTTCAATAAGCTCTCCAGAATAGCTCATGAAAATACCTTACAAGTTGCATGAAATCAATACTTTATTTTCTCTTTGGTTATAGAAATTACTTATACATAAGCACTTATTAATGCTATTTAGCTTAATGGACCCTCACTACCTAACTTCTCCTAGGAAAAATGATGTTATTAAACTTTTGTGATTGTAGGTTGATGTGGAAGACAACCCCCATCACAGTTTTCTTCCTTGGGGCTTTGATGCCATGGATAGATCCACCAGGAGTTCTATCCTTCAAGTGGGATGTCAACAACTCAACTGCCATTTTGGTATCTGCTCTCCTTGGTTTTCTCTTGCAATGGTCGGGTGCCTTGGCATTGGGGTGAGTCTGCGCTCTTCTTTCAACTGCATTTTTTGACACATTATGCTATTCTTTTCGAGGAAAATGCTAACCAGTGTCTTAAGGGCACAGTGGTTAAGAAATCGTAAGTATAAAGTTTTCATTGAAAAGTGTATCTACACATTCTCCCATGTAACTTTATTGTAGTTTTCAAACAAAGTTTTTTCACATTGATTCCTTAGGCACCGGTTAGCAATACCCTCTTTTTTAATATTGTTGCTCCTTGGTGAAGTAATGTTAAGATTAATCAGCTAACATGACATTATATATGAACCATTGCAGGGCTACTTCTGCTACAACTCATGTTGTTTTAGGACAGTTTAAAACCTGCGTGATACTGTTGGGAGGGTATCTATTATTCGACTCAGATCCTGGGGTTGTGAGCATTGGAGGTGCTGTTGTTGCTCTTTCAGGGATGTCAGTTTACACATCACTGAATTTGAACGAGTCTCAGGAAAATACGAGCAAGCAACTCCCAAAGCAAAGTTCGCCTTCACCCAAACCCAAATCAACAAGTGGAGACAGCACAGATTTGAATGTAAATACTACCACTAGCACCATTGTCTGAGTGAATCATATAACATTAATACCAAACTATTGAGGCACTCATATCTCCTCCATTTTAGCAATTCAGGTCTAATTGTGCAGCGAGACTTGTTGTATAGACAGATCAGTCACAGTAATTCAATTACTGCAAAATTTGTTGACATTTTTTAAGAGTAGCTTTTCACTAAGTTTAATAGTCTCTTTAATTTCTTAAACGAAAAAAGTATGTTCATCTAAATGATGTTCAAGGGCTTTAGCACACATGTTATGATTTATGAAGTTCAGTGACCACCCCACATTATGAGATAAAGTTTGAAGACTCAACAGATGACACGAGTGTAAGCCAAAAAAATGAGTTTCTGCTACTAGTTAAAATTTAGCCTTAATTTTACTTTTAAAATATGTGCAAAAAAATGTTAATTTCGAAGCTTAAATTCAGAACCATCATATAGAGAGAACAAGCAATGACTTAAAAAATGTTATTTATAATAATCTTACTCAATTTAAACGATTTTTTTTTTTGGAAAAATATAGTTGTAGTCAGGACAAAATTTTTTTATATATCATCACTCTAAGAAATAAAATTACCACACTACATAATGCATTTAACATAAATATCACAAAACAATTATATTATATTATATTATATTACGATGAATAAGGGTTCAATCTCAATAAAAATGCCACGTGTTTATATTTTAAGTTTTCCACACTTTCTCAAAAAACAGTTTTCCAAGTTGGATGCATATATATGAGGAACACAAAAATAAAATTATTGTATATTTAAATTTTAATGTTAATTTTAAAAGGAGTTGTCTAACATACCCCAGGTAAAAATAGGATTAAATAATAACGTAAAAGATGATTGGTGTAATTAAGAAAATTTACCAACCATCTTGAAGTGCAAAATAATTAATTGTACCAATTATTTTTTATAAAGTTATTTAATACCATTTTTTTTACTTAGAATAAGTTAGACAACATCATTTTAAAATGTTAATATTTCGTATATATCAAAATTTGATTGGTCTTAAATCTATTTTTATTGGATTGAATCGATATATCAAATGACAAATTATTTTGGAATTTTATACTAAAAAATAAATAAATAAAAATTGAATGACTAGATTATTAATATTATTTTTATGCATCGTATGAGTGTAATAATGTTAATATAATTATAATTCAAATCAATATTCATTTTTAAATTAATTATTCGATTAAAATATTTTTAACTTATATAAGTAAATTTTTTTAAAAGAAATAAATAATACTTAAAAAATACAAATACTGTTGAGCGTAAAAATATTTCTTAGTTAACATTAAAAAATGTCATTAATTGATAATTGAATATCTACAACACATAAGTCCCGATGATAGTTGTACTTTAAAACTCATTTAAGACTTCATCCTCATTATTTTAATTATGCAATTTTAATTTAACTTAACATTTAATATTTAATGAAAATATTGATGTGACACTCTAATGCACTACCAAGTAAATATTTTTTAAAATATTAAATTAAAAATTGACAAAAAGTACACAACTAAATTTATGGAAGAATCAAATTCGCAAAAATAATAATAATAATAATAATATAAAAAAATAACAACTCGTGAGATTGAAAATAATAATAAAAAATACCAAGAGTTCAATTAAATCTAATAGTTTTATCGTATTTATATTTTATGCCAAATGCAATAGGTAATGTAGTTTTATTGTTTGTCAACGTTCATGTAGTCATGGGTTCAAGCACGAAAATTATAAGCCAACATCCTCCATCAGTTTACCAAATTAGTATCAGCACATCTGTCAACACCCTACAATATCTTGGACGAATATTAGATGTCAAATTAATAGATAAATTAAAACTGTACAAAATCTGAAAAATTAAAATCACCTTTTTTTAGGACAAAAAATCACCTATGCGCTTTATTAAACTTGCACTTTATTAAAAATTACAATTATAAATGTGTTGTACGCTCCCAATAAATTTTAATCAATATTAAAGAATATATTTATAAAGAAGTGTACTAACAAGTAACCTAACACTAACCTCTTGGTTAAAATAATTAAAACTACAAAATAATGAAAATGTATCATTAAAGATGGAGAACCCACAAAACTATATTATTTTCAATAAATTTCAACAAAAATAATTAAAAATTAACAAATGAAATACATATGAAAGAATAAAGGTTTCAAAAAGCTGTCACGCGAGACCTGTAGCACACAGTAATATCTCCATAATTGGATGTGTAGAAGGAAAAATTAGACTCATGCTGGACAGAATATAGAATTTTAAGTTTTTCAAACCAAAAGAATCAGACAAAATAAATCCATACACATGCATGTTCCTCCATGCCAAATCAGGTAAGTCTTCTGAAGTTGAGACTGGAAATGTGCTACTGAAAAATAGATATCACAATTCTCATGCTCCAAATAAAACTGTATAATTCAATGTCCTCTGATATCAAAATGTAATATACAGGTGAGAATTTAGAAAGGAAAAATTGGTAAATCTCACCTACCAACTCTTGGCTTAGTAAATTATCACTAGGAATTACCAAGTTTCTTAAAGCAACAACTAAATGTTCTCTCGGGTAAAGAAGAGGTGAGGGATAAATAAACTGAAGGCTCAAAAATTTAAAACAAAAAATAAAAGAAAACCTGCAACTAGCACCCTTCAAAATCGTTAGCACCAAATATCTCCACCAAAAACAGTCACTAATTTTCTTTTCTCATTCTTGGCCGCATTTTTATTTACACTTCAGATCAGGCCAGTGATCATATTTCCTGCATCTGAGCACATCATTTGTGCATATGAACATCATCACCAAGAAAATGTTTTCCAGCCTAAAAATTAGAGTTCCAATTGATCGGTGCAGGCTGAGGCTGCTGATAGGATCCTGAAGGGGGCCCTACAGTTTCAACTGGCCCAGCTACAGCCTGAGATTGTTGCAAAAGCGTTGATGGTGTAGCTACTGTCTGCCCTGCTTGATAGATGCCTGCAAATGCCCCATGAGCAGCCTGTGTTGGGGGAAAGGTGAGATGTTGTCCCTGAGGGGCAAGGTTATACAGAGAATTAACTTGCAAACTAGATAAGTCTTGGCCAGGTGCAGGTATCCACACTGCAGAGCCTTCACTCTGCAGCAAAATTTAAAAAATGAAAAACCATATTAGTGACTACAGAAAATCCAAGAATTTTGTTTCATGTTGATGGAGCAAACCTAAACTTTTAACAAAAGATTTATACTATTGAAAGCCAGGGACCACAATATGGAACAAAATTTCCTATTTTATCAAGAAATATGCATGGGTGAAATAAAAGAACATTAAGAAGGAAATAGACCAACCAGCTGCCCTGTTGTATAGATCTGGTTTTCCTTTAACTGAGACACTGCAAGATCTTCATTTCCAGTGGAGCTTCCAGTGTTAACTGTTGGACTAGGTGCATATCCTACTGGGGGAGCGATAAATGATCCGGAAGGAATTCCAATATGAGCTGCATTTCCTGTGTTTGCTCCTGCCTTGAATTGAGGGAGAGGGAATTTGATCCCAGCAGCTGCTGGAAGATACATGTTGCCAGCTGATGGCTGTTGAGGGAAACCATTGTGGCTTAAAAATTGGTGTATGGGAGACACATAAATTGGAGGGTAATAGTGGCTATAAGGGAAGAAGTTAGTAGGGTATGGTGGTGGCCTGAAAATAGAAACTGACTGTGGAGACACAGGTATAGAACTCTGCAGGGGTGGAGTTGGGCTAGGGGATACAGCCTGAGAACTTGCGTTCTGCAATACGAAAGAAAAAAATAGAAACATGAGAAAAAATATAATCATATAAAAGGAAAAAAAAAATATAGTTATAGTAAAATAAATAATATATGCACTAACAATGTAAAGATCTCTTATAATCTAATTATTGAAGCTATGAATGGTATGTTTATGCAACTACCTTAAGGGGACTGTTGGTTCCAGAGAGGGGAAGGAAAATATTTTAATGGAGGGGGGGGGGTGGAATGAAGGAGAGGGGAAGTAACTCTTTTCTTGTTTAATTTACAAGTGAAGGGAAGGAATTATAAAAACTTACAACAAAGTTGGGAAAACGAGATGTATCTTGTGACTGAGGCTCAGTTCCCTCAAATTGAACTTGCTGAGTGCCTAACATGGTGGACATGAAATTCAAACCATAGTTTTGAGCAGTTTGAACAGTTGGAATTTGATGGCCTTCAGGAGCCAACAAAATCTCCTTTGGCTGATCAACCTTTGTGTCAGTACCAGATATAGAATTGCCTTCTGTAGCTGGTGTCTTTTCAATCAAATAAGATGTCGAATGTGGATAATCAAGATGATCTCCTTGTGCAGTCAATGATGCACTTTGATTGCTACATCCAGACAAGAAATACCATCAAAACAAAAATTACACGAGCACACTGTGAGTCTGTGACACAAGTAATAACTTCGCTAACAGGAATGGAGGAGAAACCAATAAATTAAGCCAGAATAATTCATAAAATAAATAATAAAACAGACCTAAGATTGCCAAATGGCATTGAAAAAGGTATAATATTATCTCCAGAGTCCAGAGAGAAAATGCCCTTTTTCCGAGCACCAACTTTCATGTAGATTATAGTTATTTTGTAATGAAGGAGTTTGATATAAGAGAACAAAGCTAAGACAATCCAACCATACATCATTTCTAAACCATCTAAAAGGGCATGAAAGCAAACACATGCACATGTGCATGCACTCACAGAGGGAGGGATAGAGAGAAATCTGTGATTTGATATGCAAAGAAAAAGCACATAAGAAGCATATGAATAACAAACCTTGAAGTTGCAGCTTCGCCACTTCCTAGTGAAGATTCAAGAGCAGAAGTGTTATTTTCACCACCAGTTCCACTGTTAGATTTTTCACTTGGGCCAAAAGTATCAAAGCTTCCAAATGTCAGACCACTTTTTAAAGCCTTGGGTACTTGGAAATGGTTTGGAAAAGTAACATGTTGCCTCAATTCTGATGAAGATTGCACCACACAAGCTTCTGAAGTTGAAACCTCTGTGATATTAGCTGTTTCAGAAACATACGTGAACATGTCAAATGGTATTATAGGAGATATAATTAGAGATATATTGAAATTAATTGAGAAAAAAACTGTTAAAACAAAAAAAAGGTGATTCTTGATTTTGATAGGATGACTCCTTTCAACTTGGAAGAGTATCTCAGTAAGTAAAATTTGGGGATTAGCACACAGAACCAGAACCCATACAAGTGACATGCTTATTTAAATCGTAGTCTTAGTCATGCTGCTTCTCACTTAAAATACCTTCAGGAACAGTTTCAATGGTTCTTCTCCTGACCTATGTCCTCCTATTCCTGTGGGCTTTTCTTCACTTTCTCTTCCCAGAATTTAATTGTCCTCCTTTCTAAATTAGGGAGAGCAATGATAGTATACATATGGTAGAATTGTTTGATCAGAAAACTCAAAGAATACCTCAACCAATATCAGAAAGTACATCAAGGCAAACAGGAAGATAAAGCAACCTCTTTACTCCAAAGATTAAACAGATATTAAACAAAACTTTACCTAGTGGTGGCTGGCTACCAGAACTGGAAGATGGCCTCAATGAATCATTTGGGGATGATGGAGATGACAGTTGTGAGGATTCAGATAACCAATTATTTTTAACTTCATTTGACTTCTGTGGGGCATTTGTTTTGCACATTGAATTCACGGACCCAGATTTTTCATTATTGGATGCTGATAAATCATTAACTTCAGAAACAACAACTGTATTTCCTTTAACATGATTTGGTCCAGCAGATATCTGGTTGCTCCCAACTTCCCAACTAATAGCACCACTGACACCTGGATTCCTGGAGACAGATGATGCTACTACAGGATCCAAAGAGGAATGGACACTGGATACAGAAGTTTGAAGTTGATCAGAACTTGACAGAGACTTTCCTTGGTTGGTACTGGTAACTGAGCTAAAGGTTTGAGTAGGGGAAGAGGCTGCTGCAACAACAACAGCTTGAGGTTCAACATTTTCTTGATAGCCAATGTCATTAGAAGCTGAACTACTTTTAGGTACACTAACTATGGGAGATTGGCCAGCAGAACCGTGACCCGACTTTCCATTGGATTGATTTGCAGCACCATGGGATGCAGCAGCTGAAACTCTGCAGTTGAATGATAATGACTTTAAAGAGGATAGATATATAACACTAAAAATAAGAAGAAAAAAAGAATCATGATTTATGTCAACTAGTATTTTAGCCTACACATGATAAATTTTTATTTTATATAACTAAAATTTATAATAAATAAATACTTTTGAATATACAAATAGTATTACAACTAAAATTTATAATAAGTAAATATTTGTTATCATATAAATTATATCTTAGATTTATTTGTGATACAATGTTACTTTTTACTATTGGCAACTTTTTTAAAAAAGTATTGAAATTTAATTTAGAAATAAAAAAATAATAGATTAAAAAAGATAAAAGGCTAAGAAAAATTCCTAAAAGCACTCATTGAAAAAAAAAAAACTAAAAAAACTTTCGTTGAGGAATGATCCCTAAAAATGCTTTCATTGAAGATAATTATTCTAATTTACATATACAGAGGATATTACATTGGTGTATTTCTCATTACACCCACAAACAACTTTATATAAAATGCATTTAAGCAATCCGATTGTACAATCACAAGACATTATCAAATTTATACATTGGAGTTAAGAAATAACAAAGAGTACAAACTAAAGTTTTATTACCATAAAATTTTATTCATGACATCAATGTGAGATTTGGTTAGAATTTTAGGCACAATAAAAGAAAATAAGAGTGATGTCATTTTTCACCTTTCATTCTTTCACCTCATTTTTAGTCTTGCCTTTTTTTGTAAAATAAATAAGGAAATTTCTATCCACCATTACATTTAATCATAATTAATCCAGTTAAATAAACAAATTAAAGAAAATATAAATGAAAAAATTGCCACCTTGTAGCTTGAGATGTATTAGTCTTGGTTTTCTGCAAAACTGACTGAGTAGGGGGAGCATGACTTCTCTCTGCAATGTGACTGACTCCATTTTCCCTTCGATTAGCTAGGTTCCTCCCACCACCACCATCTGACAACAGACATTTACAAGACAGGGTAACAACTAAGCTAATAAATTAGCTGGAAATTTGCTGATTCTTAGGACAGGTTCTGCACTATAGCAGTTCATATTCTAAAAATAGTCCATGAAAAGAAAATTGAAACAGCATTAAAAGATAAATGGTGGCAACTGAAAGGGGTACTTTATCTTGTTGTGCTGGATTCAAAAGAGATGTAACAGGGATCATCATTAAGCAGCAAAATAAAGCATAATTCTTAATATTCAGATAAAAGATCTCAGTAATTTTGAGAGGAAATAATCAACAGTGCTAATATCTTAAAATAATATCTTAAAAAGAAAAAAAAAAGAAAAAACATAAAAATGATGGCATTCCAAATGTATTTTTGTTTTCGAGAAAGATGGTTTCCAGGTGACCTTTTGTGGAAATGAATCTCCATATATGGAAGAGAGTAAATTAATAACAGAACCCAAAGTCAAGCCTATAAAAGGTGGGGAAACTGTACCAGGAAAGTTAGAGGAATGTCCTCCAGAAGCACCCCTTCCCCCCCTCCCTTGTCCACCTTGCTTTAACCTAGACTCGTCAGAAGCCCTGCTGGTTAATCCCTGCAACAATAAATTTAACACAAATCACTATACCAACAAAAAATATTAAAGAGAGAAAGTTAGGACAATACAAGCACATTTACTTGTTGGAAAGCCACCTTAATTGCAGTCACCCTTGCCCGCCTTAGTTGCGGCCTTTTTGGGGGGCTGCCTTAATTGCAGCCTCAAGGGTGATGTTTAGTTCCATATCCTATGGCTTAAATAGAGCATATAAAACTTAGGCAGTTCTCAACTTACAAGCCAATTTTGTGGAGCTAAGTTAGGCCTTAAGCTTAAATTCTAAGATTACCTATAAGTGGACACACACACACACACACATATATACAACAGCTGTATACAAGCAACTACAAAACAAGACCACGCCTGTTCAACATGCAGTCTGCCAATCACAGTGCTTGTAAGATAACAGAATGGCAGCTCATGATACAATGAGAGTTCGCCTAGCAGCTCACAACAATCAAAACAATGATTAGACTTCAATCACTGGATAAAAAATAAAAGATTCACCCACTTCAATGATCTCTGCACCTTACTGGTTAGGTAAGAAACTAACCGATTCAGCAACTCAACTTTCAAGAGCAGTTACAAACTCCAACTGAAATACAAAAACAGAGCAAGTAGAGAGTAGAGAGGGGAAGGGGGGAATCTTACCTCCTTCTTTCTGTCACGTCTCCTCTTTACCTCATGAAAAGTATCTGCGAACAAAAATAAAAAAAAGAACCCACGAACCCATTAATATAAGGAACATTAAAAAAAACAAACAAGAGAATCTCAAAGATGCCATGAACACATTTCTTTTGGAGATATCATGAAATGATTATGAGGCAGAGAATGTTGACGCCATCAATAAAGAAAGACGTGGCAGTTAGATAATATTGAACTAGTGTAGCAAATTCGTCGTGACAGAGAGAAAACCCTAAGAAGGTAAGTTTTATCTAGGTGAAGCAGTGATAGAGCAATCTCGCTGTGGAAGTTGAAAAGCAAAGTTTGGTGAGCTTCTTAGGAATTAAAAGAAATCGAGAAGAGAAAGTGAAGCTTGAGAATGAGGAGTGAAGTGAAGGTGGGTGGAATCGAGGAAGGGTGGATCAGAAAGAGGGAAACCTAGATAGAGAAGCTTCTGAGCGGTCTCATTGGGATCCATGGAGCATTCTCGGAGGACGGCGTAGATTTCGTCGTCGGTGTGCTGCTTGCCGGTGATCTCACGAATGTCTTGGATGATTTTGCGCACATTGTTTGGGATCGGAACCCTAAAACTGGAAGACCCACCACCGCCGCTCATCTTTCTGTCTGTAACACAACACAACACACCAACGAAGGAGAGACACTCTCTCTGTTCCTCACACTTATTATTATTATTACACTGAATCATTAATATACGCCAATTCCTTACTATTCTATTCTTTTTCTTTTTCTTTTTTCTTATTTTATCTCATTTCAGATAACTGTTCCAAACCTCTTGCCTCCTCGACTTTATTTTTCTTTAATCCCTAAAATTAATAATTTAATTCAATATTTAGAATATCAACAGTAATAATGTAATTGTTGCATAACTAAAATGGTTCATTTTTGTAATGAAATTTTTTATTATTATGTATCATAAAATGTTTAAATTTTTTTATAACTTGTATAAATATCACATTTTCAAATTATTTCAGATAAAAGTATTCAATTTTAATGTAAAAAATACATTAAAAAAATTATGATTATTTTAAATATTATTTTTATTTTCGGGTGAATTTGATAAAAAAAATTAATGACTAAGTTTTTGAAATATAAGAAATCATTTTGAGAGTTAATATCTTTGAACAAATATTTTTACCCCGAATTTTTTACTACATACATAAGGTATGAGGTTAAATTTTAGTTATCAGATGTTTTTTCATATATTGAATATTTAAAATAATACTTTTAATGATCCTTTAAAAAAATAATTTTAATTAATTAATAATGCAAAATAAATTATAGTAATAAAGCAGTAGTATATTATAATTAAACTTATTACCTAAGACATAGATAAACTCGTCCTTATGGTTTAATATGCTCGAGCATATTTATAAGGTAACAAATAAGTTACTTTATTATTAAAAAAAAGGTTATTTTTTTAATACTTTTATATATATTGGATTTTAGTAATTTATTTATTGAATTACAAAATATTAAATTTATTTATAGAATTTAAAATCATATGATATTTTATTAAAAAATAATTATTTATAAAAATGTATATATAGTTTCATATTTTTAATGTTCTTCCATATTTTATTTAGAATTCTTTTTAAGTAAAAATATTATTGATACGAAATAATAACTAACAAAATCTACTTCATATTCAACATCAAAATTTAAATATTTATAATTTGATTAAGAGATACAAACTTCATTAATACTTTTTTTATTTTTACAGATTTTTAAGTGAAATAAAAAATTTATTCACTTAAAAAAAATTATAGAATTGTAATCAATATCTCGACATAGAACTAAATATATGAAAATCTATCTAATCATGTTTCACCAACATCACCCTAATTACGCACGAGTCAACCTAACATGTCAACATATTCGGACTTCAGAGACTTTACTCAAGAAAATACATGACCCGTGCAGTAAATAATGGGCTCAAGCCCAAGAACTAGCGATCCAGGCCCAAAAGACTGATAACACCTCACAAAAAAAAAAATTGCAGCCTAGCATATTCGCATATGAGTATGACAAATTGACAACAGTTGTAGCAAAGTGCGAAGTCCAGAACAGTTGATAGTTGATTGCATCTGCATCTCTGTGTTGTTTGTTTCACATCAAAACAGAACAGTAACTCGTTCTGAAGGATGGGTAGCAACAGTTTGAGGTACGAGATCGCGCAAAACGCATACATCAAACTCGTTCTGCACTCCCTCAAACACCCAACCTCCGCCGTCAACGGCATCTTGATCGGTCGCATCTCCCCTTCCAACGACGTCGTCGAGATCGCCGATGCCGTCCCTCTCTTCCACTCTCACATCCCTCTTCTTCCCCAATTGGAGATATCTCTCATTCTGGTTCTCTCTCTTCTAGGGCTTTATGCATTTATTTTATCTTTTTTCATTCAGTTTTGACCCCATATGGTTATTTGTAAAATTATGCACAAAGACGTATGCTTTCTTAATCAACATGTAACCTAATCAATTGGCTTTATCTTATTTGATTCTGGGTGTCTGTGAATTTTTTGTTTACTTCGTGCTGCTAGTAGTTTCCTGATTTTTTTTTTCAATTCTCATTTTTTTGGCGAGATAGATAGAGGAGTATTTTTCTGCGAAAGGGTTTAACATAGTGGGCTATTTTCACGCGAATGAGAGATCTGATGACAGTGAGCTTGGTGGTGTGGCCAAGAATATTGGTGATCACATCTGCCGCTACTTTCCCCAAGCTGCAGTTCTATTGGTTTGTTTTTTTTATTATTTATTTTTGCTGTTTTTGTTTTTCATTGTCTCCTTTTGATAGTCATAATTCTCTTCCTCTTCAATTATTTGCAGTTAGATAACAAGAAGCTTGATGCTTTGAAAAAGAGCAAGGAACGTAGTGCCATAATGCAGGTTAGTAGTATTTGGAAATCGCTTTCCTCGAGACCAATAATAATTTGTTATATGATGTTCATCACTGTTTTTATCCACTCTAGGAATTGTATTTGGGCTTCTTTAGATGATAGTACGTTTGATCAAATTATCAAATATATAGGAACCCTTCTGGTCTATATTCTATATGAAACTATGAATATAGAAATCCAAATCCTTCAGGGCTTTTGTGAATGGAATGGACTAAAGAACCACATCTTTTTTCATGGAACCTTTGAACTCGTTAGAATATGTGTATCTTCTGTAGTTTGCATCATTCTATAAATTTAGACAAAACTGCTGTATCTAAAAGCTTAACTGGAAATTGGGGACTATGGGGCTTCATTGGTTGTAACTTGTGTCATCTTGGAACTCAGATTGGATCGCAATTATTCAAAATTGAGGCTTTATGTTGTGCTTTATTTTCTCATATTTTCATCATAAGTCAAAAGAGAGGGATATTCCTGTTTGGTTTGCCACATACTGCAGCATATTTGGGAACCACTCTTTTGGGAAGATAATTATTTTCTTTTTCCCAAAAGTTCTGTCAGGAAAGTTAGCAAAAAATAAATATTATTCTCTTAAACAAGCGAATCCAAAAATGTACTAAGGTCAAACCAATTTGAAGAGTCGGAGAATGAAATAATAACGTTGTGTTATGTGCATACTTTGCATGATTATACAGGCTGCAACCTCAAAGCTGTAAGGCTTCATCCCACATTGGTACTAATTACAAAGATTCTTTGTTATTTGTATGTTACAAAATTTAGCTTTTTGTTATATAAGTATGGTCGCAAGGGTTTATACATATATGGTTCCCCCATATATAGAGTCATCTTTTTGTTGGTTATATTAACCAAGATTGCCTTTTTCTTATGGTTTAGCTTTATGTTAGGGATACATCTAAGAACTGGAAGTTGGTTCAGTCAGATGCTAACAATCGATTCTCTCTCAAAGAGCCTACAGCAAATATAGTCTTATTGGACTATATTTCATCTGAGAAATGGAATGCCATTGTGGATTTTGATGATCATCTCGATGACATAAGCAAGTAAGTGTTTTTGCCTTGAAACATTTATTTCTTTCCCAAGTACAATATTTTATTTATCTGTGCAGCTATAACTGACGTTACACAATACATATTCTATTGTTTTCAGGGATTGGCTAAACCCAGGGCTCTTCAACTGATCCCTTATTGTCTCCATTTTTGCCCTATTTACTTTGCAAGTGGAGGATGTTCAGGCTTATTATGGTGCATATGTTGGATTCTCAATGATGAACAATTAGGGACTATATTTTGACCTTAGGAAAAGTTTTTTCACGAGGTTTTCCCAGTTGTATAAGCAGGATATTTATTTACCACCCAAAGATTTTGGTTGCAGAGACAATTCTTTTTTTTTTTTTTTGCTTGACTTCTCTTTTCAGATTTATGTTTGTAAGTTATCGCTCGGGCCCAAGATTTTTCTATAAAAAAATGTCTGAGGAAATTATTATTAACTAATAGTAACAATGGGTGGGATTTAAGATTAATAATGTATTATCACAAATCTAAATGAATTCCTATAATATGAATGAAGTTATTTGGTAAAATAAGTGTAAACGCCAAATTTAGATTCATATGAATGAAATTCTAACATTTAAGGTGAGAGTTTTTTGTTTTTTTTGAGGCACTGCATTGGGGTATGTGTTCGTGTGAAAGTTTTTGGCAGAGTTATTTTTCTGTTATTTGGTTATATTTTAACAAATTTAATATATACACTTAATTAAATTATAATTTATTTATATTAATTTATCGATTTAGCTAGTAATACATGTATGACATAAATAATTTTATAGTATATTTATCATTTAAAATTATTTATTTAATTGTATATTTATTCATGCAGTTCAATTTTAATGCATTTCTTCATAAAAAAAGAAAAATAAAGATAATTTTAGACAAAATGAGACTTGAAATAGACTAGACTTTAAATACAGTCTATGACCTAATTTGTTTAAAGTCTAATTTGCTCTAATTTATTTAATAAAAGGGTTAGATTTAAATTTTTTAAAAAGTCTATTAATTTTAAAAGGTTAGACTTAAATTTATAAAAATGTTTATTAGAGATCTAATAGATCAACTTATTTATCTGTAATATAATAAAAAATAATATACATATTATATTATTAATAATATAATTAATAAATAAATTTAATAAAATAAAATAAAATTATTAGTATTTTTGACATTTTTAAAACTTAATTAATCGTACAAAATCTAAGAAAAAAAAATCTAGTAATTGCATCTTCACTTACTCTTTTCTTCATCTTAATTTTTGTTTATTTAAAATAATTCATATGAAATATAGGAAATATTTAGAAAGATTTTTTTAAATAAGATTATCTTCTTTTACTATAACTCTACGGGAGTTTAGATGATTTTGTATTTGTTTTCTCTCTCATGCCAATTTCTTATTTTTATTTTAAATTCTAAATTTTAATAACAACGGGATAAATTATTATTTTTATCATAAAAAATAACAAAAACTCGCATACATATTTAAAAATAGATTCCTTGGTTTATTTAAAATTAAATTTATTGATCTATTTAATATTATTAACATAAAATAAGTTTTTAAATAAACTAATAAATTAAACCAAAGTTTTAAAAAAATGTCATGACAAACCTAAAAAAAACTTTAAAGTCACATATCCTATTTTTATTCCTACTTAATGACTATTAAATTAACATAATTTATTGATATACATTTAAATTAAATAATTTATATAATTTTTTAATTTAAAATTATATATTAATTTATGTAGTTCAATTGTCTATAATTTAATTATTATATTAATTTTTTTTACTTTTTAAAGACATATATGAATTTTATTAAATTTGTAGATATGAAATATATGTGATATAAATATTTTTTTTGTTTAATTAATTGACAATAACACACTAATTCTAGACAGAAATTACTAGAGAATGAAATGATAATAACATCCTAATCAGGGAGGTAGGAGGTACGAAACTTTTAACGTCATTATAACAGTAAAGACAATAACACCAATAAATTTGATAAATAATAATTAAGAGTTTAACCGGTGAGTGAAAATATATATATTTATTATTATTTAATAATAAGAAACAAATATTCTCACTATCTTTGATAGAGAATAAAAATAAAATTAATACCATGGAGTAAATGGTAAAGATGAGAGTTACAACATTTAAGTATTTCCTTTGACAGTTTACTACCAAAGTTTTAATGTAGAATTATTGAGTGAGTGGGAAATTGAAACAGACATTATATAGACTGCTCCTTCTGAATGTACATATAATTAAAAGGAAATACTCAAAAAATAAATTTTTGGAGTGTTTTTAGTTTAAAATACCCCTAAAACAATAAATGAAAGCACACTTAATGATAAATATGATTAAAGATATTTTAAAAATATAATATATATTTTATGTAAAATTATAAAAGATAAATATATTTAATTACTTTTTTTTATGAGTAAAATTATTTATTTATTTATATATAGGTTGAGAGGAAGTACAACGAGTTATGATATTGAATTACTGATGTATTTTACAAATTCATACAGTATATTATAAATTATAAATAAAATTTTCTGAAAAATGTTCCTTTCACAAGTCCGAACAATGTGCAGCCTACTTGATTGAAAAAAAACAATGTGGAGTCTGCAAGTGAGTAGGATTGGTATGCATCTGTGATGTGAGGACGTTTTATCAATTGGGTTTTCCATTTTTCCTACTTCCAACAATGATGTTTGTGGCCAGCATGAGTTTGTTCTTGGCTTATTACGTTTGACCAAATTTGATTGGAAAGAATAGAATAACTCAGAGAAGGATCGAAGTCAAACATATATCAATGATTATTTTAAAAAATTGCTTGCGCTGGCCGCTGCTAACATAACAATTTGTACAGCTTGTTCAACTTCCTATTGGCTTTTTACAATGAATTGAAAGAGAGAAGGCGTAAAAGTAAACCACAATCATTCTACTGATTTGTGATAAGCAATGTGATCATAGAACAGGGCATCCACTAGCAATTACTCCTGGAGCTGTGGGGCACTTGGCCAAAGGGCAGTGGTCATCAGCATCTTGACCCCACCAAACTGGACCAAAGATATCATAACTTTGGAGGGCAAAATAGAGCAACACACCCATGAAAGCAATACCAGCATCCAAAGCAGCTGAGAGGATGTAAGTGTGTCTAGCCCACCATGCCTTGAACTTCCTGTAAATATATATGTTGAAGAATAACCCCACAATACCCCAAGTTATGTAGATGACTGATCTGGCTGGTGGAATACCATTGGCACCAGAAATGATGAGGGGCATGTTGATGAGCTCAATCCACTTGTGGTTGGGGAATTTGCGAGCAAGCAGCCACACTGGAACAGGAGCAAGTAATCCAATGAGGAAAAACCAATTCAAGCCAGGGTAAATGCCAGCCTTGGTGAACATTCTCTTTGGCCCCACCACTCCCCATATGATTGAAGCATTGTAAAACACATCGTCACCAGGGCAAGTCCATGGACTACCACTTGGCAAATTTGCTTCATCACATATGTTTGGAATACTTGTTAGAAGCCACCATGCTGTGCCAAAGCACACAGTTGAAGCAACTACGGTACCTACCAACTGAACACAAAACAAATTGCCTAACATTAGATATATTGAATAATATTTTATAAGATAAAACTTGCATGCAATACGGTTGCTACAGTTATTCGATCATAATTGAAGTTTTTACTCGATAATTCGCATTGACTCTTATTTATAGTTGCATCCACAACAATCCTACCTGCACGACGAACATAGATCTTGGAGGAATTTTCATATAGTGGCCTAATTTGAAGTCACCAAGGAACCCGAGTGCCTGTGCCATGCTGATGTACCCGTATGTCTTGAAGGCTACATTAGCAAGGGGCCTTCCTGGGTAAATGTACCCAATTATTAACTCTGTAATCACGTTGAGTCCAGTTTGCTGCAAAGAAAGTTACTCTATGGTGAGAAAGACAGCCTTTGAAACAATGATAAACTGTATAATGTTGAAATGAAAACCATACGAAGCACATGTAAAACTTTTTTCAACTTGGACAATGGGCATTACCATATTGGTTGTTGCTTGAATGACCCCAACTGGCAAAGTGAAAACTAACGCAATTAATAGAGACATTAAGACTCCCCACCATGGCAATTGGAGTTGCTTGCCAAAGCCTTCACATGTTAGCAAGGCTAGACCAATCATTAAAACCAAAATGCTGACAAACCACCATTCAGGTACTTGGTTATAGTTTCTCTTCATAATTCTTGTGTGCACATCTCCAAATCCTTCTTCTTTCAGTGCAGATGCTGTCTTCTTCCACATTTGGTAAACCGTCCTTTCAAATAGATAGTCACCGGAACAGTTAGATGGTTTGTTATACAAAATGAAATACATAGAAGCCGTTTAGATACACTAGTAATATTGTTATCCACTCGATTAGTGCTATATTTTTTCTTAATAACAATTTCCAACTTTTGATTCGAGAAAAGCATAATCAGTACCTATGATATTAGACTAAAACTTAGATGCAGATTTATAAGTATTTTTAATACTATTTTTTAATTAAAATTAGAGTTTTATTTCAGTAATTCATGTTAGTATTTGATGAAATCATTTATTATACGAATTATCTAGGTGAAACTCAAATGTATGATCTTATGAAACTGTATGCCAGTTTTGTCCACACAACTAAACAAAACTTACTTTCCATGGAAGAGGACAACATGTGAAATAGTGGCAGTCAGAGTTGCAAAGCTCAATCCATAGTCGAAAGCAAATGTGATGCTAAGATAGAGCTTGCTGTAGTTGTTATATCTGTCCATATCAATATCAAAAGTTTTAGCATCGAGAATCCGAGTGACATTATACACAGCGCCGGAGGAATCAAACGTGTGAGAACTGATGATGGGGAACTTCTTGGCATCATACACGTTGTTCCAATAGGAAATGGGAATCAGTACATAAAGGAACAGCCCAAATCCAACGAGTGTGTTGATGATGGCGAATCCAGGAGAAGCCAAAGGACTGCCTAAGAAGCCAGCCACGGTGTTCCAGTCCAGGCCAAATGAACCAATGCCAAGGCCCTTCATGCCTGAACCAATTTGTTGAGCAACTATAGAGTTTTTCCATATCAAGCAAACTAAGGAGATTGTTGATATTGCTTGGAAAAGGTAGCCTGGAATAACGTAATAAGCAAAGCTTGCCACAAACACCAGGAAAAAGAATTGCAGCCTTGTGTTTCCTCCTTTAGGCCTTTTCTCCTTTTCATGAAATGCCCTACCATACAAGAACAACAATTAACTGTTAATCAAAACTTGAACACCATAATTAATGTTATTAGAATTAGACCTTAGTACGTATAATTTTATTATTCTTGTTCTATATATGCCCATTTAAATATCCAAAAGACTTGAGTTCCACCCCAAGCCAGTTGTGCCATCGGTAACTGGTCCAACCAAATTGATCGATCCATCCAAGCCGATTTTAATAATACTACATTCAATTATTCGTCCTTTGCAAATAACTAATTTTCTTAATTTGTTTAAGAGTATTGTGAAAAAAATTATTTCTCAAATAGGAAAGTGAATATCCCAAAATTAAATGTGTTGATAATATCTTCCATTCATATATATCCAATAAAAACAATTATAATTGCTTTCTATTTCCAAAAGCTCAAAACAAGAAAGAATAACGAAATACCTAAATAGAGACACCTGGACAAGATTTGAAGGCCACCACATGTACGGGGAATCCACAAGGAATTTTCTGAAAATCCCAGCCCATCCATAACCAAGCATCTAAAATCTCAAGGATACAGTTTAGTAGACTAACCATATTTGAAATGGCTCCTTCTTTTGGCTAATTGCCATAAAAGATAAAACCAAACAAAGGTACTTCAATTAGTATATCTATATTCTCTACAATTTAATTTTTACCTCATTTTATTTTTTTTCTCCATTTCTATCTTCATATTTTCACTCCAATCAATTAATAACCATTAGAATAAAAAATAAGATACACAAAATTTAAAATTGGAATCTAATTATTTACTACTATTTAACCGTTTAAAGAGAAATCCAATCATTTATTACATTTGAAAAAGTACATACTTTCTCTTCTACCTTATTTTTATTCAATTTTCTCTTTTATCTCTTTCTGTTTTGTTTTTTTTCGCACAACCTATTAAATTTTTTTATCCTAGTATATATCTGTCGGTTTTTTTCTCTTATACCTTTTCTCTGTCTATCATCATATTTCCACCTAAAAATACAAAGGACGTTGATGTATAATTACTGTGACACTAATGAGTTTTGATTTGTTTATTAACTTTTTGCACCGAAAAACATTTATATTCAACAACCAAATTAATTAATAATGAATGTTGGTTCACCTGGGTGGACAGTGCCAACAGAAAAGCAGCGAGTGGATGGATACTCCTGTGATAGAAAGCCTTAACAATTGTGATAATATTAATGGCATAGACACCGCTGGATCCAGCGCTGGCAAAGATGGTAATGAGTGCATGTTCCTTCAAATTGAAGGGACCAGGGTTGAAGGAGAAGGACCATTTGGTGAAGGGTAAACGAAAGGCTTTGGTGGGAAGCGTCGCCGCCATGAACTTGCCAAGTGGGAGAGAGACAATCTGCGCTGACACAGAAGAAACAAACAGAGGGGTGGTTCTGTAACCGAAGAACTGGTTCACGAATGAGAGAATAATGCATGATGCCAACCCCAATGTCCATGTCCTGAATGTTAGTGCAGGCTGTGTAGGGTCGTCCGTTATTGGAACTGTTAGCCTCACCTGCTCAATGGGAGAGTCATCCACCTCATTTTCTTCTGCAACAACATTAATATTCATTATCAAATATTATTTTAATACCCATAAATTTGATTCTAAGCACCAAACATTATTTTAATATTGTTGGACTGATTCCATTAACCAATATTTAACTAACAAAATTCTGTAGCTAACATTCAAACTCGAAGCAATTTCATGTCTTAATTAACACATAAAGAACATTGGAAACTGAAACATGAAACATGAAACATGAAACATGAAACAATCTGTAACAGTTTTATTATGTAACGACAAGAAATATTAAGTGAGAGATGATATAGGAAATGTGTAGTAACGTTACCAGCGGGTATGGGAAGTTTGGAATGGTGGACGACCCCATCATCCATTGCAGAGTTGTGGATGTGTGTGTGTGGTCTCTCTCTCTCCTGTTTGGAGCACGAGAATAGGTTACATTGTCGGCATGCTTATATAGGGATGTGTGGAACAGTAGGAGGTTACAGGAAACATGTGCCTGGCCTATTTAGTGGGGTTGATTCAAATTTTACGTAAGCATGATCGCAAAATATCAGCTATATTCAAGGAAGAGATATAAGAGGCGGATTTTAAGGTTGCTTCCTTATATTTAACCAAATCGTCTTTAATATTGCATGCTGGTGACAGCAAAAATATATTAATTATACTCTCTCTATATTTATAATATATGTATAAATAAAAATAACTAATTTAAGAAAAATAGTTAAATATTTCACTATTTTATATAAGTTATATACTTAAATTTATTAAAATATTTTTAATAACATTTATTATGTACAATGTTTTTATGTATTTTATATTTTTATATTAAAAATATTAAATAAATTTAACTTATTCAAAATTTACTTATATTTAAATTTAAAATAAAAATATTTTTTATATATAAATCCAGAGGAAGTTTATCAAAAATACTAGGCACGTTATGTTTAAGTATAGCATGTTTTATCTTTGATATTGTTAAAAATCATAAATTTGAATCAGCTTTAACAATAAAATTATTTATTAAAAAAAGTGAGATTTTTAATAAATTTTAAAGATTTATTAAAAAAGTGAGATTTTTAATAAATTTTAACTAATAAAAAATATTATTAGAACCACAGTATTGAATGAGTTGTCATCAACCGATAGACTTTTAGAGTTTCTCTGAAAGAATATCATTCACATTTAATATCTGATATATTGCCATATTAGGTCTTGAATAAGATTTTTGTCAAAAATAAATCTTGAATAAGACTAATTTTTCAAGGTTTGAATAAGATTAATTGGAAGAAAAAAATTATTAACAAAAATAACACTTTAATTCTTTTATTGGGTACATTTTATAGTGCGCCATACTTCTTTATATTATTATCTAATTATATATATTATATATTATAGAAAAACATGCATAATAATATTATTAATTTTTATAATAATTATTTAAAAGATAATTCGATGGATAAGAATGAATAAGTTAATAACGTAGCATAACAACCTGATAATCTCTTTTACTATATAATGTATATTCACGATAAATAATCAATTGGATGCTATATATATGTTATCTTATTTTGTTTTATGTTTAAGATGAATTAAGAAATTTATGTTTAACATAACTAATAAAATAATATAAAGACATGGTATCAAAGATATCGGAATATGATAACAGGGTAATAACAAGGTAAAATAAGATTAAATAACTTTTAATCCTATATAATGCTTGTACACACTCAACAATAAACTAACAAATTATGATATAATTGATAATTATATCAATATGAACTTTTTGAAAGATATCGGAACTTTTTTTTTTTTTTGCTATTTACCAATATCACTTGACGAATTTGATGATTTATTACTATATATCAATATGAACTTTTTGTGAATATATCTATTAGTATGATGTATACTTTACACTTGAATAATTTTTTGAAAAACACATAATGGTTTTGAGTATATGCCGACAATTTGATTTTTTCTTATCCTTCAGAAAGATTAAAGGAACAAGATTCCAAATACAAACTACTGTTTAACAAAAGATAATCTTTGAGTATCTAGTGATACAAAGTGTTGGATTGGAAAGGGAAACAATTTCCACAACACCCAACTATCATCATTAATTACGAGAACCATATTTAGTCAACCAATGAAGCCAATCTGCTCCTTGATTGTCTGTCTTCACGTAGAGTGTGGGTAAAGAAGGAGAGAGTCCATTCATCATTTGTAGAAGAACAAATTTTGTTGATGATTCCCGCATGTAGATATGCCATGTGACATGTTATCAGTTACTAGTTTCAGATCCAACTCACAAATAATCTCTTTGAAACCAACCTCCCACGTACGCCAACAAGTACATCCCCAAAGCCATGCGCCACAAGAATCACGTATAAACCCCTAAAACCTGAGATCCGTGATTCACCAATAATAGAGCTACCATTTGTATTAACGTTCACCGTGTTACCAATATAGGTGGTGGTGACCAAGACACCATTTGCTAACTATTATTCCTAGAGGAAGATCTTTTCGCAACCTAGGCCTAGTTTACTACATGCATGCCAACATATACAATTTTACTATTTTAATTTTTTTAATCAACGTATAAAATAAATAGAAAACACAAAAGATAAAGATACATACTACAAATTTTATTTTTATCAAAAATTGATTCATTATTAAGGAGTATTTTTTATCACATAAGAGAATTAATCTCTTTCAAAAATTTAACAGACATCAAACGAATAAATATATTCTCCGAATCTATATTTTATATATATATGATGATTTAAACATATATATATATATATATATATATTATTATAATATAATTTTTATTTTTTAAAATATATTATTTTTAAATAAAAAAATATATATGTATGTGTCAAATAGTAGTGGAAGCAAGTGCCCTACCCTTATCTCTGCCAACTGTCATATTGTAGAAGTTTTGAATAATGTCCTCCTCCATACTTGTCAAGACAATCTCTTAGAATGTGAAGTGTAGACTCCTTCAATAATATGCACCTAAAATAAAAAAAGTAAAAAAAAAATTATTTTAGTTCCTCATATTCTCAATAACTTTAATTAAGATAGTTATATAACATCAACAAAGTATAATGTAATATTTTTATTAATAAAAATATTGATAAATAAATTTTATATGATAATATTTAAAAGATTTTTTTGACAAAATTTAAGTATAAAAATTAAAACAAGTTTTTTTGAAATTATAAAAATTAAAAAAGCTAATTTTTAAATTTGAAAAATTAAAAATAAAATTATCTTAAACTTAAGGAAAAAATATATTAAGTCAAAAATATATAATAAGTTAAGAAATATTTTTTTTGTTAAAAAGAAGAATAAATAAAAGTAATTACATAATATCGTATTTTCGATTCTAAAATTAAATATTTATTTATTATTTGCTACTATTTGTCTATCCCACATAAATATTTATTTATTTTTCTAACTTGAAGATGAACATTGAAAGGCAATAAATAGGTGTAATTATCCTCACGTAAATGAGCATGGGTGGCATTTAGATGTGACCCTTTTAATTCAAAGTAGTATGCCATGTGACTTAGTCAACATTGATGATATTATGAAAACATTAAATTTAGAAAGCTATAGTATTTGATTATTGTGCTCCACTTATGGCTTACCTTGATCCCAATCCCCAAACGTATTTTCTACTCATCCATGCTTATTACCATTGACTTCCACCTTCCATGTCTTCGTCAACGTCAAAATAACACAAAACAAAATACTATTTTACGTTATCTCCATAAATATAAATTCTCCTCATGTCGTGCGCGCCACCGTTTTTGTCTTTTCTTTTCTTTCAACTCTTTCATTTTTCTTTTATAGTGTCAATAAATTTAAACCCACTAGTAGTTTAGTTTATTCTATTCACATATTAAATATTTACTTTATATAATTAAAATTTATAATAAATTATTTGTATAAATAAATATCATATTAAAATATATTTAACTAAATAAATTGTATTATATTTAAAATTTTGTATTATAGTGTGATACAAAGTTATTTTAATTATTCATAATTTATTTTAAAATATTAAAATTTAATTTAAAAATAATATAAAAAGATAAATTAAAACAGATAAAATGTTTATAAAATTCCTAAAAATTATTTTTAAAAAACTCTAATTAATAAACAGTTTCTAAAATTACTTTCATAAAAATTATTTTTATTTATATATCGATTATTTCTTTTTCATCTAACAGGTGAAGAAGTTATTATTATTATTATTATTATTATTATTATTATTATTATTTCTTTTCATGAATAATATGTGTTGTTTTTGCTCAATTTCCTTTGTATTTATATTTTTTTTCATTATTTCATTTCTTACTTATAGAATGATAGTGTGGTTCTTGATAGAGAGGAAAGTCTACACAATAACAATAACTTACGCAACAAAAATTAAATCTCCTATTTGTAACATCAACAAGGGACACCAATAAAATAGAATAAAAATAGATAAATTGAATGCATAAAAGACACAAATAGTTTTAATCTTAAAAGATTCCTTAAGGTAAAACTATGTTTAATAAAGGTACAAGAGAATCTTCAATAAACACATTAAACAATATTTACAATCAATCAAAATAAATCAATCAAAATTGCTTATAAATAAGAAATAAGATAGAAAAATTTTCAAAATAGAATTATCCCTATAAGACATTTTTCTCTCACTTCAGACTTCCTATATAAGATTCAATTATTGAATATAAAACATCATAACCTACAAATTTATTGTCAAAAAATTAGTCAAATTCAATGGGAGCGAATCTTTAGTTACAATTCAATAAATGTTGTTTGGTAAATATACGACCTAAATTTCTAATTACTGTTATTTTTTTCTTCTCTCGGAATAAATCACTCTCTCTCTTTGATTTAATCCCTTTCCACTTAATTAAAAGAAACATAATAAACTTATATATTTGAGTATATTTTTCACATAGGAAAAAAGTCCATTTCACGCAGTTTTTTTGGGAAGCGATTGTATTATAGAAGAAGTAATACTAAAAATATTACAAATTTCATATTAAGACATCATTGTTAATTTATGGTTAAAGGGTTATATTTTAGTATAAAGACCAAACTAATCCATGTGGGTGTAACGTGCAACGTATGATTTTTCATAAGCATATATATAAATAGACGTGACGTGTTAACATTCACGTGCTGTGTCAGTTTCATCAACTTGTTGAGTGAAACTGTAAAGGATGGCTGAGTCAACTTCCATTAACTACAATTTTTTTTTTCAGTTTTATTTTTTTATTGTGTATTAAGAGGCTAAAAGTTCAAATTAAAAACCTTTAAAATAGAAACAATGAAATATTAACTAACAAAGGAATCTTACTCCATGAAAGAAAATTATTAAAAATATGAACACCCTCTTGGCTCTTGCAACCTCTAAAAACC